GCCATTGATTGCTTAGTTGTGGCAAGTTACTTCCAGTTTCTTCCTCACTTGTTAAACATGTCACCGCCATTATAAACAATGTTATAGAGGCTTCACATTGGAACACGAGGAAGTTCACTGTAGTAGTAGTTAAATGCATGATTCTTTACAGTTAATGTATGCTATAAAAATTAACATAATTAATGGAAAAGTCGTTTTGCCATCTAGTGAGAGAAAATAAAATTCACACATTGCCTGACATAATTAAGCAAAAACTGCTGATATCATTAGGAAATATGCTGATTGGTTTAACTGAAGCAAGTTCACACATGATGTTGATCTTAAATTGCTTCTTTCCATAGACAGACTATAGTAAATTTTTATTATAACTAGAGCTGAAAATTTTCACTTTTGGCGAATTTCTCAGCTGTATTCACCTGGAATGAGCATCTTTCACAATTAGTACTAATTTAAAAATCCAGTCTCAATAACACTAAGTTTTTTTGGCGAAAATCAGTGATTTTCACCCAAACTGGCGAATTTGGCAATAGGTGGCGAAATCATTAGTTTCCCATTTGCTTCATGCAAAAATGTCTAGAAAACAGTCAATTGAGTTTAAAATTGATTCCGTAATTAAGGATTTAGCTGGCAATATATTTCGCTGTACCAAAAAACAATTCTCTGTTTTAAGTGCTCTACACACGTCAACTACGAACGTGATACAATTAAGAAATGACTTTTGGAACATCTCAACTAGGGTTTCTCATTTCCCGGTCTTTTGCTTGTCCCGGGATCCCGGGATAAAAGTGAACTGTTTCCCGGGATCCCGAGATAGAATTAATTATTTTTAAGGTATACAAAATATCTTGAAATCAAATGATATAATTATTTTCCATTTTTTAAAGTTCTGTAACCTCCAAAATCATATTAATAATGCTGTGTAAGGTCTATAGGCCTATAATATAAATTACCTTTAAATAACGTAGAAATTTTCACAAATAGAAAAAAATTAATTAAAGTTTGCTGGAAACTGCATACAACAATAACAAAAAAATGTTTTGAATTGAGTTAAAAATTAAAAAAATGAACTTCTAATTTAGAAGGTAATTTTCGTTTTTTAAATAAAATATAATACAAAATATTGCAAACTTTTATAAGATTTTAAAAAGCAAAGATGGTCAATACTCCGATAACTCACTCTAATTCTTATTTTAGTAATGAAAAGTCTTGCCACCGAGAATGCCCTTTCCGATTCAATTGATGTGATTGGAATAGTGTTTAATGCATTTAAGAGAAGACAGATATTATGTGTTTTTTCACCTGTAGCCTGGAAGATTTCGAGTTCGTTTTCGAGATTGTAGTACTTCTTTCGCTCTCTAGTATTCTTGATTTGTCTACCTTGGCTGCTTTAATAGCGGCATCAAGCTTAGAGCTCGATAATTCGGCAATTCATTTGGCTTTAATAATCAGGTTTATGAAGAAAAACTTCATACTTGCAGACTTTGTACTCGTTTGTATCCTTGCCCAATTTGCACAATCTGGCGTCAGGCATTTATTGAAGCTACTGGGCATGGTTAAAACTCAAGACAGCGTAAGCACAATTATTCCAGATATTACAGGTTCCGACAAGTAAAGAATTTTTATAGTCCTGCCACAAATAAGCTATATATTGATTATTGACCATTTGTGACATGCTATAACGAGCAAAAATTTAAAAAAAATAATAGGTAGGTTTAAAATTAATAAATACAAATGTATTCTGACAGTGAATGAGTTAATTATGCTTTCTATTTGCAAAATTCCTCAACCTTAACACAAAATAAGAAAAAAAGTGAATTTTTAAGAAATTTGCGGGATTTCCCGGGATAAGAAAAATTTCCCGGGATATTTCCCGGGTTAAAAAAACAACCGGGATCCCGGAATCCCGTTTGAGAAACCCTAATCTCAACAATGCAAAACACAAGAAACATAACACGCTACAGTCACAGACATTGTTGTTTGAAAATGGAAGCGATTTTGATAAAGAAATGTTTGAAGCATTCACCAGTGCAGATATTCCGCTTGAAAAATTAAATAACAAAAACCTGAGATTGTTTCTCGAGATATATATGAAGAAGCCGATCAAAAGTGTTCCAGGCATTTTTTTATTGTAATTAGTTTTTTTAATGAAACGTTTATTTTATTGAAATTGATACTGCTGTTTGTGATTGTGCTCATAATTTAGCTGAAATATGATTTTATTTGAAGTCTCATTGAGTTATTTATTTTTTTAGCACTGAGGGCACATCAAAAAACTATCTTCAACTCAGTAACAGAAAAAATTAAGGATGAAATTAATGGACATGATGTCTATTTCATTGTTGACAAAGTGCAACGTAAAGTGGTCAACATGCTTGTAGGAAAATTGAATGGCAAGAAAGCAAAATCAATGTTAATTGATGTGATATTTCACTCAACAGTTGACAACATTATAATACAAGAATGTATACTCAATGTGTCTAGAAAATTGTGGCCAAATGTTTTAAAATATTCAAAACTGAAGTTAATAGTGACAGATTGAGCAAAATACATGATGAAGGCAGTGAGATTAAGAAAAATTTATTGATTTTTCCAAATGTACATCATGTCACGTGTCTTGCTCACGCCTTACATAACGTTGCATTTAGGATTCAGAATAAGTACAAATTAACAAATTTGCTTATATTAGAAATGAAGAATTTTTTGTGAAGTCAAGAGAAAGACAAAATGATTTTAAGAATGCAACTGGAGTTACTAATCTTCCTCCAGAACCAATTATCACTCGCTGGGGGTCTTGGTTAAACACTGCAAAATACTATGTCAATAATTTTGATACTGTTGAGTGCTTCATTTTGAACTATAAACAAAAATCTCATTCAAATGCTAGAAATGTTTTAGTGAAACTATTGCAAGAGAAAAAAGTTAACCTCAAGAAAGAATTATTTGATCTCCATAATCTTGTCAAGCTATCAAATATTATATCATCACTGGAAGAACAAGGACTCGGTGTAGCTGAACAAGCCGAATTAATTGAAAATGCAAAAGAAATTGTTTCTGGTTATCCTATATTTTCTCAAAAATTGGAAAAAGTTTTGTCAAGTAATCCTGATCTTATCAAATTTATGTCTTTTGATATGAATTTAAGTGATAAAGTTAATAGTGAATACGCTCCTTTAGTTGCAGTCGACGTTGAATGTTCGTTCTCATTGTATTCATCGTTATTGAGTGATCGACGTCATAGTTTAAGCAAGGATCATTTGAAATATCTAAGTGTAATTCATTTTAACCCATTTTTGAAATAAATAACTGGCAACTTTTTTGGGCGAATTTAAGGCAAATAATTGGCAATTTTCGCCACGATTTTAGGCCCAAAATCTGGTGAAAACGGTCGGCTCTAATTATAACTGAAGATTTTACATTAAAAAATTTATCTTCATAGTACTGTACATTAAAAAGTTATGAGCAGTTGAAAAATGCATGTATGACCAAAAAAAAACACAAAGCCATTTCTGACAAAAAATACCTTGGACAGTACATTAAATGACCTGTTCCTAAAAATGTAATCATGCAGACATGTGATATTTGCTATTTGCATTTTTTCCTGTGCTATTACCATCAAGATGTATTTGTTTAATGAATATGGCAGCTGGTAAAGCTAAGTGTTGATATATGTAAAACTAAGTGTAATTTTCACCTTTCATAGAGAGGGCAAATCATTAAGACAAATTATAAAAGAATTAAAAATTGTCAAATCCACAGTATGGGGCATTGTTTCAAAATATCAGGAAACTAATATAATTCATCCAGAAAAAATCAACTGGAAGGCCAGTAACTATAACAGACTGATCATAAGCACCTTCATGAAATAATTTTAAAAAATTGTGGTGCATCACTTGGTGAATTAGTGAATGAATGGAATAAAGTTACTGGAAAGGAAGTCACAAAAGGAACTTGTTGTATCCATTTGCATAAACTTGGCTATAGCTTCTATCAGATAAGAAAATTATTTTATTTTTGGTACTAGTTAATTACTAACTCTCCATATAAGACAAACTGGTAACATTGTCACATTCTCATTGTTTTCAATAATTTACATTTGTTCTAACAAACTTTAATTCTTGGAAATCCATTTGATTCTTCAAATTTCCCAATTCTACTCTTGATTAATTAACAGCTAGATGGCAGAGCAATGACAGCCACTGCAAGGACATGGAAACAAATCTGGACAGAACAAAACCCCCAGAAATTTTTCTGGATATGTCAAGTCCCTCCAAATATTTTATTTGCCAAAATCTCAGATTAACAACTGAAAAATCCTTTTCACACACAATTGCCCTAAAGAAAGTATAATGCACTGCCATATGTCACAAGCTTTCTTTATATATGCTTGTGCAACAAGCTTCAACAAAGAATCTAAACTTAATTTTTGCAAATTTGAATAAATAAATTGACATGCATTTACACCTGACAAAACTTGTAACTTGGATGAAATAGAAAAATTTCACAGTTTGATTTTCCTAAGGTTTTGTGCAAGGAATCAAAGCAAATTGACAGCATGGCATTCAGGCAGAAGCACCCACAACTATATTTTATATTTTTAATTGAAAGAGGGGGGTGCCTCCAGGTTCCACTCATAGGTACGACCTGGAGGTTGGAGGAGAAAAGTTGATGAAATGGGAGTGAGGGAGATGAAGGATAGGGGATGAAAGGGGGACAAAGTGGGGGAGACAGGTGAGAGTACATGGCGCCTGCAACACAATTATTGAAAGCATAACAAAACATAATACAGAAAAACAATTGACCGAAATACATTGATGTGCGCCAGACAGCGAAAGTAAAAAAAAATAATAATAATATATATATATACATAAGAGCTACAACATAAATATACATAATAAATCACATGATATGTACAGTGAGAAATCGCTTACAAGAAGCGTGCAAAACAAGAGGAGCTGGTTGGATGCCTGAAACAATTGTCGTGAGAAAAGATAGCCAGTTGGTCAATCATTACTAGCAGACTGCTGATCGCGTGCTGGGTTGAGTGCTGCTGTTGTTTCCAGAAACTTGATGAGATGTCGATAAACATTCGGGTCTTCCATGAGTCTGTTGTTAGGGCATGGCCAGTTGTTTCCAGCATGGAGCACATGCCCCATGAGTCTGTCTCTCTCCTGTTTAAAAAGTTCACAGTCCCACAGATAATGCTGGCTGTTTTGGATTGAAGTACCGTTGCAGGGACAGATGTCTGTGTTTTTAAGATGAAACCTTTTTAAATAGCTATTGAAATTACCATGTCCAGTAATTAACTGGGTCATGGAGAATGTTGGCTTGAAGTGTTTCCATTTAAGTGTTTCATTAATGCTTGGGATAAAGGTGTGCGTTAATCTGCCTGTAGATCCGTTATCCCATTCTTCCTGCCATTGACCAAGAGCGAATTCCCAAGTCCATTGCCTGATTTTCGAAGCAGGAATTTTGTTGTAGCAAGGAGTAAGGCTGGAAGCAGCGGCCTGTTTGGCCAGCTGATCAGCTGCCTCATTTCCAGGTACACCAGTGTGTCCCCGGACCCACCTAAAAGAAATCACATGATTGTGGCTATTGGTGCTAAGGTAATGATGGATTTGCAGGATATTGTCACCCTTATTATGGGGACTGAAGATGGAATGGAGGGCCGTCGTACTGTCAGTGTAAATGGTGATAGTTTTATTGCGCGGGAACCATTCAGAATAGATATGATCCATTGCCTTGGCAATGGCCAGGATTTCTGTCTGCGGCACACTGCAGTGAGGACCCAGCTTGAAAGCAGATCTGTGGGTGACACCGGTGTTATGGTGGTAAAGGATGAAAGCTGCCCCAACATCTGCTAGATTCTTTGATCCATCAGTATAGATGGAGTAGTCGCTGTCAACATTTTCATTTGAGTAGTTGTCACGAAGAGTAGGATAATTTCCATAATAGTCGGAATCTGCAAGCTTGTGCTCAATGCCAAAGTTGGCGATGTCTCTCTTTATGTGGTACGGAAAAACAGAGAGGATGTTATTATGACTATTGCTGCTGTTGAAAACTTTGCCATTCATTTTGTTACAGATATTCCAGTTCAAAATAGCCATCCTGGCTTTGATATACACTGGAAGAAGGCCCGCAATGACAAGCAGGGCTGAAGTAGGAGCCGTTCTGTATGCTCTACAAATACGTAGAGCAGCAATCCTCTGTGCCTTTAGGAGTTTGCGTTGAATGTACACAGTTTGGGTGGCCGCTGCCCAGATAGGTGCAGCATACAAAAGAATAGGTTCTATGGCCCCCAGGTAGATATAACGTGCCGCATTATAACGTATACCCCAGGTGTTTTTTGCGCTACTGTTCAGGGCATTAGACACCTGAACAGCTTTGGCACTCACCATGTCTACGTGTTTAGTCCATTGGAGTTGCTGCTCAAGAACAACCCCAAGATAAGTGAAGTTGGTTACTCTCGGAATCCGATGCCCATCTATAAGAATCCTAGGACTTTTCTGGAGTGGCGTTTTTTTCGAGAATATAATATACGTGCACTTGTCGTAGTTGATTGGGAGGTTAACACTTTTACTCCAGTTGACCCACAACTATAAAAAATGAAGAGGCACAACCTATAAAATAAAGAGCATCATACATTATGCAAGAAGCTTCTACTCTATGATTCAACAGTAGATCAGCACTCCCACAAGGTGATGCTGGTTGCACTCAGGGCTAACTTGGCCTTGAAAACAAGGAATAAGGTTTTGATCAACATACAACAAAGTTGAATGGGACATTGACAAATATAGTTCATTAGTTTCTTTAATATTTGTAGAATAGGTAAGAAGTCATAAATTTTCTGTTGTTTGTTGATAATGAAATTTGGGGCTCTCCTTGGAGATTAGGAAAAGGGCAGATAAAAAAGGGTGGCATATGTCCCAAATGCTCCATGTATGTAAAGTTCTCCTAAATCCAGGAATGAAGGTATTACATGATACTTATGTAAGCTCAATAAATGCAAATCCATCTAGTTGGTCTAATTAACAATTGTTTGCAGACTTATCTCAAACATTTCATAAACCATACAAGCCCTCTCCTGATGATCCCATATTACTAACTTTGCATAACCATGAATCACATATTTTAGTCAGCTATCAACCTTCTAAATCCAATGGTGTAATCATGCTTATGCTACCTTCTCACACATCACACAAGCTTCAGCCTTTATATTGTACTGTTTTTGGTCTATATAAATCATTCTACAATTTAGCCACAAGTAAGTAGACTACATTAATCATTCATTCACTGATGGCTAAATTATAAAATGGTAATCTTTATATATATATATGCCAAAAACAGTAAGTCTGGTAAACCTGTAACAATTATGACATTGCAGACTTGGTTGAGAAAACATTGGATTTTCTTTTGTGAATGATTTTCAAACCAAGAAAACATTTAAAGTTGTTGACATATCCTGTAGATAAGAATGCTTTTGAAAATCTCAAATTTTTGTCTTTCCACATCACTAACCTCCTTGCCTTGAACAAGTTCCTGAGATTACCCAATGTTACTAAAACTTCTAACAATGATGATACAGAAAAATCCAAACCATTCACTGAGTTCCTTATCATCAATTACTCCAGAAGTGATCAGGCCCTTTCCAAACCACTACCACATAAAAACACAGACAAGAGAAGAAAAGAAGGATTGTGACAAGTACAGACAAGAGTGGTGACAGATACCACAGAGGAAGAAGAGAAAGATGCCTACCCAAAATTATTCTAAAGGGAAAGATGAAAACATTTTTTATCAAGGCTCCAGTGATAATATTGTCATGGATATATCAGCTAAGGAAATAGTAATTAACATGGAAATGAATAACTCAGTCTTGAATAGGGAAACATACTTGAAGATTTCTTTCCAGCTAATTTGGTTATAACAAAGCATTCATTAATAGTTTTATTGTTTTCTGAAACATGGTTCTATCTTTGATAATACTAAAATATGTGTATAGAATAAGCATATAATTACATAGGTGGTTTCCTTATGGATCTTAAAGGTCAAGTTCTGCAATCTGACATTTTCTATAGTCTGACAATGGCCAGATCCCACGTTTGCTAGATTAAGGAAGTTCAACCTGCATTTCTTATTTTGTTGCACAAGTTACAAAGACTTAGATGGAGATGAAGTTGAGGTTAGGACTACAAACACTATGAAGAAGCTAACAAATTCATCCCAGTAAAAGACCACAAGATATATAGATCACAAAAAATGATACTATCCTTAGTAATACTACAGATATTGTCTTCCAACTATCACTAAAAGTTCATCTAAACATCTACTATTTCAAATACCTTTTGAAATAGTCTTTGGAGCTTATACTGTTAATCAAAAATTTCTGTTGCTAATGTAGCCTTAAATATTCACTTTCATATATGTTTAGGTTGTAATTTTTATGTTATGGACAGTTTTTTAGAGCTAGACTCCAACCAATGCCAAATTCTATTGGGCTAGATATGGCTAATTACTAAATAAATTATGCAACCAATTTGGCACTGAAGGGAGGCATTAGACACCATCTCTTAATATCTTTAATAATTATAATTTTTAATTAATTAATTTAAATACTTTAGAACTACTGAAAGTAGTTCTAAATTAATCATTGATGGTTATAACGTAAGCTTATATATACTGGAAGAGGAGATCGGGCTGGAGGTCTGGATAGCGTAACTGGCAACACATCTGCACGGTAAGCAGGAGTTGTGGGTTCGAGTCCCACTCCGGGCCGATTTTTTCTTCCAATAGTTCTAAATTATTTAAATTAATTAATTAAAAATTATAATTATTAAAGTTATTAAGAGATGGCACCTAATGCCATCTCTTAATAACTTTAATAATTATAATTTTTCATTAATTAATTTAGTGCCAAATTGGTTGCATATTTTATTTAGTAATTAGCCATATCTAGCCCAATAGAATTTGGCATTGGTTGGAGTCTAGCTTTATAGTATATTGGATCTAGCAATGTTATTTATAGTTTTTTAGATTTCAAAATAAAAGTATAAAAAAGTAGTGACTTGGTGTCCATTCTGAAAGTGCCATAAAATGATTCAAGGTACAAATATACCTAGTCCAGATATACAACAATGTTGTATCTTGATCCACTTTACCTCACAGACTTAAAAATTTCTTTACAGGTTTTTATAAAACTATACAGGAATAAAAACTTTAGTAGTTAGGTAAATGGTCAAGATTAATAGTCACCAAAACATTTTTATTAAATCTAATCTTAGTCTTACATCAATGATGGACAAACTTATAACACACTGTTATTAACATTTTCAATCAACAAAATGATATGTTGAAAAATAGTTCATAATTATTATCTATTGTCAGTTCATACTATTAAAATATTACTGTTAATTTATATTATAAATTTACTCAATGATAAACTCTCATATAGGCACAAAGGATCCAGAAGTTAATCTTATAAGAGGCAATCTTAAATCCATATAATATAATATCTTATTGCTTTAATAATAATTTAATAAAAATGATATTAACTATGTAATATAAAAACATTTTTTAAGAATTAAAAAATATATTAAAATATAAACATTATTTTAAAGAAATAATGAAACTCATGCCAGAAATAAAAAAAGAAAAAATTCACAGGGAGCAATTTTATCTATCACTCTCCTCTGGATATACCCCTGCATATAGGTATACATTGCAATGAATGAAAATAAAAAAAAAACAAGCTGTATTGTGTGATGAATGAAAATCTCAAAAACACCAATTCAGATTAATTGTGAAAAACAAAGTACATAGATTCAAATTGGAGGTAATACACTCATTTATTCCAAACTTGTAAAAACTTATATACACCTTTTGTCAGAAAAGTTCCAGGACAAAGCTCATAAAAAATAGAAAATTGCAATTACCAAGTAATGATCCTAGCTCCTGTCATAGTAGTCCTCTCAGCTATCTATTTGCAATTGCCAATGTTTCTGGAGGTCTTGTAAACAAGCAGAGAAAGCTTCACGTGTGATGCTTGTTAGCTCATTTCTCACAGCCCATTGGATGTCTGCAATATCTTGACAAAACATCCCTTTCAGTTGCTTTTTCACTCACAGAAACAAGAAAAAAAATCACTCTTCTGACAAAGGATTGCAACAGAAGTTAGGATCATTACTTGGTAATTGCAATTTTCTATTTTTTACGAGCTCTGTCCTGGAACTTTTCTGACAAAAGGTGTAGAAATAAGAAAATGAATCTACTATATTGCTATAAAAATCAAGTATGTAAGCTGATAGTGTTCTTGTAAATCAGTCTTGGAATTTGATGAACACAAGTCACTTGCTTTCCATCAGTTTCATGAATGTTTTCCTGAATTCACCAGCAATCATTGACTTTCCTTCAATGTGAAATTCTCCCAAGCTGTGTTATGAATTGAAGCTTCTCAGCCAATTATTCTGGCTTTAANAAATAAAAGTATAAAAAAGTAGTGACTTGGTGTCCATTCTGAAAGTGCCATAAAATGATTCAAGGTACAAATATACCTAGTCCAGATATACAACAATGTTGTATCTTGATCCACTTTACCTCACAGACTTAAAAATTTCTTTACAGGTTTTTATAAAACTATACAGGAATAAAAACTTTAGTAGTTAGGTAAATGGTCAAGATTAATAGTCACCAAAACATTTTTATTAAATCTAATCTTAGTCTTACATCAATGATGGACAAACTTATAACACACTGTTATTAACATTTTCAATCAACAAAATGATATGTTGAAAAATAGTTCATAATTATTATCTATTGTCAGTTCATACTATTAAAATATTACTGTTAATTTATATTATAAATTTACTCAATGATAAACTCTCATATAGGCACAAGGATCCAGAAGTTAATCTTATAAGAGGCAATCTTAAATCCATATAATATAATATCTTATTGCTTTAATAATAATTTAATAAAAATTATATTAACTATGTAATATAAAAACATTTTTTAAGAATTAAAAAATATATTAAAATATAAACATTATTTTAAAGAAATAATGAAACTCATGCCAGAAATAAAAAAAGAAAAAATTCACAGGGAGCAATTTTATCTATCACTCTCCTCTGGATATACCCCTGCATATAGGTATACATTGCAATGAATGAAAATAAAAAAAAAACAAGCTGTATTGTGTGATGAATGAAAATCTCAAAAACACCAATTCAGATTAATTGTGAAAAACAAAGTACATAGATTCAAATTGGATCAAATTGGAGGTAATACACTCATTTATTCCAAACTTGTAAAAACTTATATACACCTTTTGTCAGAAAAGTTCCAGGACAAAGCTCATAAAAAATAGAAAATTGCAATTACCAAGTAATGATCCTAGCTCCTG